CTGCTGCTCTTCCCCGTGAGAGGACCCTTGTGTAATGGCACAGGCAGAGTGTGTCCTTTTCTCTGTGTCCATGGACTCAATAGCCTCCTGCGACAACCCTGATTTTCACCCCAACATCCAAGAGTGAAGAAGGAAGTGGGGAAGGAAAAGGAAGAAGGGAGAAGAGGAAGAGAGAAAAAGGAAGAGAGAGGGGCGTGGAGGGAGGGAGGGAGGGGCGGAGAAGGAGCCCTGTGGCTTTGTGATGTTTCCCACCTGCCATGCCGTGAGGACTTCATCCACAGATGTATTTGAGACGTCTTCTAAGAGCGTGTCTGGTGTTTTCTTAAGGAAAATTCCTGAACCCAGAATTCTAGCTTCCTGGACATGGGCCTCAAGGATTTTCAGGGAGCCACCTCCCTGTGACCTTCCTCACAGCTAGCTAATGCCTGTCACTCTGGGCCACAGCTATCACAGCCACCCTGCTGCCTCCAGACAAGTTCCACTACTTTTATCTTATTTCATTTTCTTTTGGTGTGTGTGTGTGTGTGCGCGCGCGCGCGCACACACATGCGTGTGTCTGTATCTGTGTCTCTGTGTGTGTGTATATGCATATGTAGATACACTCATCTGTTCATGCTGTGGAGGTCAGGCCTGTCACCCCCAACTGCTTCTTTCATCTGCCTTACCTTTTTGAGACAGGGTCTCTCACTGTTTCTGCAGACCAGCTGGTTAGCGAGCCCCCGGGATCTGTCTTTCTACCTCCTGCACTGGACGGCAGGCGTGCGGCACAGGCCTAGCTCTTATGTGAGTTCTAAGGACTCACAACCAGGCCCTCATGCTTGGACAGCAGAGCCACCCACTGCTACTTTCCCAGCTCCTTCCTGGTGTTATTTATTTTATCTTAATAACACTTTATTGTTTGAAATCTTCATATATACATTTATATATTGTATTTTGATCATATCTATCTACTACTGCCTACCTCCAACTCGCTCTAGTGATCCCCCACCTTGTCTACTCCCCAAATTTATGTCTTCTTTTTCTGTTGTTATTAGTTATCCCCTGAGTCCAGTTAGTGCTGTCCACATGCACATAGCTGTAGGGCCGTCCAGTGGGGCAGAGCCAACCTACCAGCTGATGTGTGCCCTGAGAGAGTGGCTCTCCCTCCCTCAGCAGCCATCAACTGCCAGTATATCCCCCCAAGGATAGCCAATGGGTCTCAGTTCTTGTCCTGGCCTGTGACATGGCTGTACGGGCATCTTGTGCAGGTCTAAGAACCTTCTGGTTGAACATAATGCCTATGGAAATAGCTCCACACATGAAGGACTGGGACCCATGAGCCAAGGTCCTACATCCATGACTGCTGATGTCCTGAAATGCTCTTTGAGACCCTGGGACCATCAAGTTCCTCGGGATTGCCCACTCCAAGTTGAGGAGGATGCTCCCTGAACTTTGCCCACAGCCCATCCTCAGAACAGTCGGCTGCCTTCCCCACTCTGGGGCCTGTGATGGGCACAGCATGGTGGTGGGAAGGTGTGGGAGAACTCTGCTGCTCACCGCATAGCAGATGAGACACACTGAGCAAGAAAGACACAGGAAGGGCCAGGATACAGTAGAGCTTTCTAGCGGGCAGCCCCGGTGACCAGTTTCCTCCATCTAGGCCCCACATCCTACTTTGTACCACCGTCTAAAAATGCCATAACTTTACTGATCTACCGAGGGGTTGGTCCATTGAGTAGCCGGTAGTCGGCACCCTCATGTGCAGTCATCTCTCCACAGTGGCCGCGAGACCCAGCCTTCCGCACACACGGCTGTAGGAGACACCGCATAGCACATGCTGTGTTTGACATCGCCCCTCACTTGCCTTTCTGGTTTATCTTCTGAGCATCTTCCTCTCCACCTCGGCCCCACCCTCACCCCGCGCCCGCTGCCATCCTCCACCAGTGTCCCCCACCACTCCCTAACGCAGTTATCACTTTCAGTCAACTGTTCCTCCCAGGCTCTCTTCTTCCAAAGGATAAGCAGTGAATTTCAATTTCCGCATCAAGCAAACACATTCATTCTCTGTTGTCCGAGGGAGGGAGACAGTGTCTCCCAAATGTGGACTTTCTCTCCTTTCTCTCTCCCCCTTCCCTAGTCACCCTGCTCTGACTCTCACTCAAAACAAAGTTGTTCTTCTTCTGCCGTGAAGATGGGGTTGGGGAGGTTCTGGAAAAGTTGGAGTCATTTGAGGGTCCTGTGGGGTGGACACTGGAACTTTGAAGGAGAGAGCTCATGGTGGGAAGTGTAAAAGGCGCCAGCCATGGGAGGACTTTCCTCATGTTGGCCCTGGGTTCCTGGAATGAGGAGGTTGCTAGGGGTCCCAGCTTTGGAAAATGCAGTCAAGTTGCTGCGGCCTAGAGAAGAGATGGACTATCAGAACAGTTCAAGGTCATGGAAAGACAAAGCCAAGGGTGCCAACTGTAGTGCGAGGATCCATCTGGTTGTGAGTGCCATCGTATTCTGTGTTTTCTTCACAGCATCCACGGCAGCCAGTCCTGCAGAGACTGACACAATAAGCAAACATAAGCCAATAAGATGAGCGCTATCCTGGGTTTATCCAGTGTCACAGCTATGGGCCACTCGATGAAAAATGTCAGCTTATTCTAATGGCACCAACTGGAAAGCTCCATCTCTCCCTTCAGGAGTTAGGTCTGTCTGGGGTACACAGAGTCTGTGGTTTTGTACATTGTAAGCTAGCCTGGCCCTTTACAAAGAGAAATGGGGAATGATCAAAAGAATTGTAAACATGAACATGAAGGGAGGAGTCTCCTGGAAGCATCTGGCCTCCGGAGGACAGACAGTGGAGGAATAATTGCATTTGTGAGCCCGGCCTCTCCAGAAACCTTCTCCTAAAGATGGAAGGCAGAGTTTCTATTGCAAAGCACAGCCATATTCTTTGAAGATTTCTCCAGGCGCATGCCGCCCACCTTGTCTGGAATGGTGGTGTCTTCATTGTAAAGAACAAATGGGGGTTGATAGCAGCACACAGAAGACACCCCACTTTCTCTGTCCCTTGTCATCCAGGTCTGAAGGTTGTTCAGGACAGCGCCTGGAAATGGAAGGTTCCTAATGTTCATGGTGACATTACCGGTCCTCACGTGGCCTGATCTCCAGACGCTTGCTCCAGTGTCTCCATGATCCAGAAGAGCCACCAGCGAACAGTTCCACCCTCACAGACGCCCTGCAGGAGGTGCTCCATGGACCTGCCTAGCTGGCAGTCCCCAGGTCACTCCATTTGCTTCCTACCTGGCGTTCACTGCGTTACCAGGTGGCCTACGTTATGTTTGGTGGAGAAATGACCATAAAAAGCCTGCTCTGATTTGGTCATTCTGAGCTGGCCACCAGGGAGCCACAAAGGCCTCATGGAGCCTGGTCTGTGAGCCAAGACTGGGCATAAATCACCCTGCCTGTCTGGCAGGGAGAGACGGGATCCATGGTCATGGAGCAAGGCCAAGGCTACAGTCTCTGTTCCATGGAGCAGTCTAGTCTATAAAGCCCTGTGTGAGCCCTGGTCCTTACCCTCGTCTACCCTAGCACACCAGGCACCACAGGACTGCCAGACAGATGCTGTCTGATGCTTCTGATCAGTGTCCTTTAGACCCTGGGGCCAGTATCTCCTCTCAGCCATTAGGAGCTCGACACCAGGTAGACAGCGAGCAGGGGGGCCACTGAGGTTAGAACCCAGGCTTCTGGATTGGGTCTGCAAAGAATTGCACACTGAGCCATTGGGAATGCAGAGGCCTTAGAGCTGAGACCTCTCAGAATCTGTGGAACCAAGGACACAGCCCTTTACAGAGCCTGAGCCAAGGGCAGACCTGGAAGCATCTCTCCATCCCATGCTGGCAGAGTCTGCTCCCTCCTCCCTCTGGTAGGAACACCCCCAATTTGTTACTGAGATGGCTGTGATCAGCCTTACTTTCCTGGTGTGCTGGCTCTGTGAGCTCTCTCATGCCCGCTTAGCACCATGGGATCTAAGTAGAGTCTTAGCTGTGGTCACCTTGCTAAGGATAAACCCCCGTCAAAGTCCTGGGGTGACCCTCAGACCCCTTGTCAACTTCCTGGCCCTCACTCGGTCCTCTTTATTCAACAGCAGATTGGGAACAGTGACGGATGTGGGGTCACATGGAATGTTTAAGGTTCAGGAGTGGCCTTCCCACGGACAGCCACACATCAAGCTGATGACAATATCTGATCTTCACTGAGAGCCCCAGATTTACTGGGGGAGGCATCCCTGGTCACTCACTCATCTATCTTACCTACATGAGTTGGCCTCAGATATCCTAGGGTTCCCTAAGACAGAAAGACAGCTCCCCCACAGAGCAGGGTAGCCAGGCCAAGATAGCAATGAGGCCTGTGGATAGAGGGAACTCCCTCCCAGTCAAGGCCAGAGCCACCACTCTGTTGGGGGCCTCAGCACTCTGAGTCTCCCCCGCAGCTCACAGGTGATCACACCCTTATTAGGCCTGGCTGTCGCACAGAGTGCAGATCCAGCAGATGACAGGTTGTCCATGACTGACAGGGCCTCTTTGCTAGTACAAAGCAGTGAGCCCGTGACCTTTGTAAGGAAAAGAGGTCCCTTCCCCCACAGCATGTCCTTCCTTCCTTCCTTCCTCCCTCTTGGTCTGTGCACTCAGTACCTAGAGCAGCTATGCTCATTCCCTTGACAGAATGTTAGCGCTTCCAGGTGAATCCCAGAGCCCTGTCAAACCAACAGCTCTGACACTGCCGAGGCAGAGTGCTGCAGACGCCCGTGAAGACCTGGGAGGACTCCTCTCGTCACAGGTTCCACAAGTGCCCACCCTTTGCACTAAGCCAGAAAATCTCTCTCTCTCTCTCTCTCTCTCTCTCTCTCTCTCTCTCTCT